TGTAGCTAGCAGTCAGGATGTGGGATGGTCTGTCCCGTATAGATCTATACACACAATGCCCGCTCTCCCTCCAGGAGACTCTGGTTACCAACGTGACAACGATGAAATCCGTCTCGTCGTCATGAGGATTATCTCATATTCTAAATGTTATGTTCGTGTATGTTCCTTTTGTTCACTTGTAAAAGTATATGTAAATGTATATATATATGTTCTCCTCGATGTACTAGTATATGTTTATGTTCTGGTAATAGTATGTAGTAATCTCCTAAACTATACCCATTATAGTTTATTATTAATGTTGTTTGTATGCCTTTGCTACTCACAGGTACTGAACTGAAGTAAAAACGTTTATATCTAAACACATATATATGATATATAACTAAGGTTTCAACGACATTCGGACAAATAACAGGATACTCTAAGTCCACAACCAAACAAGGAACAGGAAGTAAAGTGATCTATCAGTCCTAAGTCCTTCAAATCTTACTTATATAAATATATCTGTATAGACATGAGTTTGGCAATAATATAAGTTTAAAAGAGTTTGATAAAGGATTTTATATGTAAAAGAGTTTAAGATGTTTTTGAAGTGTTTGAAATCCATAAGTTTGATAAAAATTTGAAAGTAATAGAAAATCTTTTTGTTTGTTCTAGTTATTAATCACATGTGATTAATATAATAACTAGAATGTTTCAACTTGTACTCCCCCCCCCCATAAAAGCATTTAAAAATCATTTCAAAGGTTGATTAAAGGGTATGAACTCATCTGTAGTGAGTGGTTTGGATGAAAGTGTTGGACAAGGTGCTAGGTGTCAAGTGAAAACTTGGACACACACAATGATCCAATTTAGCATATAAAGACATATATATGTATCTAATTAGTGATTATAACACTAATTAAGCAAGTATAAACACCCCAAAACGTGGAAAACACTTTGGTTTAAGTGTTAGAAGATCATAGGGTTGCATCAAAGAGGTGTAAGGCCTTGCTTTAGAGTTTACGGCCAAGGACCAACTCCCATGGAGTTTACGGCCTAGGGTGTACGGCCCTAGTGGGTTTACGGTCTAGGGTTTACAGCCCTAGTGGGTTTACGGTCTAGGGTTTACGGCCCTTGTGGGTTTACGGCCGTAAACCCATGGTAACTCCTATCATTTCGTGGTTTAAGGTCCTTAGCTCATGCATGAAAGGTTCTAGTCCAATATCCAAGCCCTAGGAAGTAATGGTGGCACATATGCACCACCTAATGGTGTTTACGGCCCAAGGAGATTGCCTTGGCCGTAAACCCATGTGTTCTTGGGAATTCTTGGTGTTTTTCAATGGTTTAACAAGTAATCTAAGCACATAACTAGTTAAGAGGGTGTACTTACTTATAGGAAGCTTGTAAGAGTGTTTAAGGTCCAAAAACACTAGTGTGTGTTCTTGGTGTTCTTGTTGAAATGCAGAACACTTGAAGATCTATGAAAAAGAGAAGATTTCATGGATGAAATCATGTATAACTACTAGATGAAGTGTTGTATCAACAAATCAAGAGAAGAAACACTTACATTTTTGGAAGATTTGGAAGAAGATCTTATGATACTTGAGAGAGAATGTCGGTGTTCTTGAGCTTGGAAGTGAGAAATGAGGAAGGAAAGGAGTAAACTCATGCCTTAAGCATGAGTTCACGGCCAAAGGGGAGTTCACGGCCCAAACCCCTCATGTTTGGCCGTGAACACCTCATTAAGGTGTTAATTGTTTTATTTGTTACACAATAATCCTATAAAATACTTCCTTTCATTTGTTCTCTCGAAGAATTAATATTAAAAATATCCAAATGGACTTTAAACCGAGCTAAAAATTAGCAGAAATGAATTTGACTTTTAATTGAAGTGCTTGACTGCAGGGTTTGTACAAATGGAAATTTCGGGTTGTCACAGAAGTAGCATATGAAAATTCTAAAAAAGAACATAGAATGTGTTCAGGATGTGGAAAACGAGTTCCACACAATTTACGTACTTGTCCAGAAAGAGTTGGAGCTGCTAAATCAGCAAAAGACAGTTAGGGATTTTTTAGTTTTTATTTTTATTTTTTTGGTTTTATTCATTTATGAATATATGCAGATAAAAACAATAAACAATAATATTCATGTATGAATAATACACATTTATATTGATACGGTAAATTGATATGTTGATATTTGTTTTTTAAATTACTATAAAATAAGTTATATTGATATGGTAAATTATTCATAAATGAATAATTTACCATATCAATAATATGTGGATTCATTTATCATTGAAGATGTTATTATTTACATATTAAAGGTAAATGAATATAACATGTTTGTGTTCAATTATGATTAAACTAAAATAAAATTGAGAAATGTATATACCATAAATGAATACAAATATGTATATTCATATATGAAGTTTGTTATATTCATATAGTAATAAATAAGTTATATTCATAAATGAATACAAATATGTAAGATGACAAAAAGAAATTGGCTTTGTTTGATGAGAAACAACAGATGATGTTGAAGGAATTTGAGAGTGAGAGTGATTATACATCTGCGGGATTGAAAATCAAGACAGATGTTGAAGTTGTATGTAAACTAATATAAATGAATATAAATATGTGAAATTTGTTATACTAATAAATAAGTTATATTCATATGTGAACTTTTTTATGTTAATATCTGAACTTTGTTATACTAACATATTACTTTGAATATAATCATAAATGAATATATCATATTCGTATTCATTTATGAATAAACAGAAATAAAATTTGAAAATATTTGAATATAAAAAAATGACAGAAATAAGCTAACTTGTTTCTACTAATAAATAAGTTATATTCATATCTGAAATTTCTTATATTCATATATTAAATTTGTTATACTGACATATTACTACTAACTTAATCATAAATAATATATCATATTCGTATTCATTTATGAATAAGCAGAAATAAACTTTGAAAATATTTGAATATAAAAAAATGACAGAAATAAGCAAACTTGTTTCTATTACATAATCATTCATCACAAGATTATAAAACCTGTTCATAAGCATTTCACAAACTATTTAAACGATGTTCAATAACATTTAACAAACCATCTAAAACTTGTACTTCAAATTCATTCATCTTCAACACAAACTGTTCTATAGCATCACACTTCATCACAAGCAATCATCAATATTCTTTTAACCTTTTTTGAATTGTTTTCATAGCCTTATATGCATGATCAGTACGCACTTTGAATTCAACTTTTTGATATTTTTCAGCAAGATCCAACACTTTATCCTTCAACATGTTAATTTCAGAAGTTAGCATTCGGTGTGCATACCTTTGCCTGAGCTTCTCTAAAGTAGTTTGTTGAACTGCACTTTCTTTATGAAGACCTGGTTTCCACTTTGAGAGTGGTTGTCCCATATAGGTCTCCATATGTCTCATTGCAAAGACCCCACAATCAACTTTGTGTTTAACTGTTCTCCATGGCATTTCAAGTCGTTGGGGTATGATACTTTCTTTTGAGATTGCATTTGCTCTTGGATGGTTTATTTCTTTAAAGTATCTCACAAACAAATTTTTCTGATCATTAAATAAAATAAAAGTTAGATATGTAATAAATTGGTTCTTTTATGTTGTTGTGAATTCCGTACATACCAAAGGTTTCAATAGTACTCCGTATTTCCCTTCATAATCCCCCTCAACTGCACTGTTGTCCAGAATTTCAATTGATGGTTTCTTTAAGTTGAAGACAATCACAAAAATGTGAGCACTTCTAACAACTGGAAAGAATACCTGTTTTTAGGTATATAATGGTAAGTATTTTGTTGATAAAATATATATAAAAAAAAAGTTTAATTAACATACCATGTCAATATCTTTTATGTTCAAGATTTTTTTGTACCCATCGGTACTGTCATGAAAGTTCTCCTTGAATTTTTCATACTTTCTTTCATCAGACAATGTTGAAGTTAGATAAGCAGTCTGTAACCAATATAATTTTAAAGGATTAGTAAATTGTTAATCATAAATGAATACATCATGTTGGTATAATAATCATAAGTATATACTAAATATATTTATTTTTGATTTTTTTATTCAAAAGATGAATACATAATGATATGTGAATTTTAGTTGAATATACATAATTATATTAAAGAATACATCATATTGGTATAATCATATGTGAATTTTAGTTGTAAAAAAATATAATATTCATAAATGAATACATCATATTGGTGTATTCATTTATCAATAAAGAAGAAATTAAGGTTAGAACATAAACTTACAGAAACTGCAACTTTCAAGAAGAGTCTGTATGGTGAATTTCCAAAATCCCTTTCCATTTCTTGGTGGTTAAGTAAATCAGCCCAAGTGTCTAAAACTTCTCCAAAAAATCTTTGTGCTTGCATATAGACTTTCCATAACTGCTCTTTCTGTTACCTGACCATATTTTGTCTGGACAACCACATCTCTGCAAATATATAATCAAAATGTCATACATTATTATCTATATAATAATCATATATAAATGTCTATAAAATAAAGTAACTTACGATGTATTCCCTTGCAAGTTGAACAACCACTCACAGACAATACTCTCCTGATGTGTCAGTTTAGGTTTTGTGTCTATTATTCTGCATTTGAAAGGTGATTTGAAAGCATCGGCAAGCTTCTTCTCTCTTGGTTCATCCAGATCATGCTTTGATGGTTCTACTTCAGTAGGAATTGCTACAGAGATTGGTTTTGGATTAAGAATGTTTTTGTTTGCTAATCTGATAACAACTTTCTGATTGTGGTCTTTGATTTGTTTCTTTGTAAGTGGTTTTTTTGGTGAAGATTCATTAGATTTTTTACTTGAAGTTTGATCTGAATCTTGACTGAGACCTAGACTAAAACTTGGATGAGTATATGCATGCCAGAAGATTTATCATGTAAATAGTTGTAAGTTAATTATAATATTATTTTTATATTTTGAAATGTTTTTCCAAATTGTTACCTCCTTCATTCCCTTTTGTTTTTGTCAGCTTTTTGTCCTTCATTGTTTTCATTTTCTGACTTTTTCTTTCCTGAAAGATAAAGAAATTTGATTAAGTTATCCATTTGTGAATAAGTAATGTATTCATTTATGAATAAGTAATGCATATCATTATTTATGAATAAGTAATATCATATTTTTTTATTTTTTTGTATATTGTGTTATTTATTTGTGAATAATAAAATTTATTATATTCATTTATTAGTGATTCAACTATTTACCTTTATCTTCTGCATTTCTTTTCTCAATTTCTGTTTGTTTATCTTCACCTCCATCTTTCGTGTTCTTAGCTTCTGCTCCTTGTTTATTTGTATGTTCAGAGTTTTCCTTGCCTGAAACATATACATCATATATGAATATTTTTTATTTTTTACTCATTTATATAGTGTATTATTCACTTATGAATAAACAATGTTATTAAAAAAATCAATATAAATATTGTAATATATTTTAAATCATTCATTTACCTGTATCATCTCCGTTCGTTTTTTCAACTTCTTTTCCTTCTTCATGTACACCTTTTGATTTTTCCTTTTCTGCAAGACTATTACTTTTACTTCTACTCATTGGTGACCCTGGTCAAAATTTAATAAACAAAATTGTTATTGTTTATTAATATTTTTATATTTTTTTTTAAAATAAAAGTAAGACAAAATTTACCTATATCAATATTATCCAAAATAGTTTTCATTTCAGGGTCATTCCAGATTTCATCTTCTTGACTATTTAAACTTGAAATTCCAACTCCAAGGACATTATCCACAATGTTTTCAACAACTTTATCCAACAAATTTTCATTTTCAGTTTGTTGAATAGTCTCTTCATGATTATTTGTTTCTTCAGCATCATCATCTTTTTTCTCTTCATCATTGTCATTTTCATTGTTCTTCCCTTCTTTCTCTTTTACTTCAGTTTCACCTTCTTTTTTATTCTTATCTCCATCATTCTTTATTCCTTCATTCTCTGCTTCATTTGAATCAAGCAAGTAATCCACTTCAGGTTGACTTCCATCATTATCATTTTCTTCTTCACAATTTCCTTCATCGTCTTCATTTTCTTTTTGATCATTTGTTTTTTGACCCATTATTGGTGTCAAATTGATACCTTCAACTCCAGTTTCATTACTTGGAAATTCAAAAAGTGTTGTGCTTTCAGTTTTTTCTTCAACAATTGTATTTGTCATCTTTTCTTTGAAAATCCTAAAACTTTCCTTTTCAGGGAACTTTGTTATCGCATCATTGAGCTTTGAATTCAGCTTTTCCTTCATCCTCTCAAAACTATTAAGCATTTTAGATATTTTTGGATTCATATGTCTATGTAATAAAAAAGAAGTATGATTAGAATTTAATGTAATCATATATTATTGTTCAAACTAATTACCTCAACAGAATGATCTTCATCTTTATCAGAATCACTGTCTTCGAGATCTGTCTCTCCTTCATCTTGTTCATTAACAAATTCTTCATTTAATTCTCCAAGTCCAAATCTACCTTTTTCTTGTTCAAATGTCTCTCGATATCTAATCTTCTCTGAACTACAATAACAAATTGTTGGACGTTTACGTGTTACCGTTAAAGCTTTTGAGCGGATGTTATCAGCGTAGAACAACTGCACAAATGATAACTAATTGATATTCATATATGAACAAGTAAATATTAGTTTTTACTTATTCATATATGAATAAGTAATGTAAAGCATAACGTGTGAACAAGTATATTTTTATTAATCATATATGAATATGTGCTATTAGTTTATGAATAATAAATATTATTAAAAATTAAGTATAAACATTATAATAACTTACCACCAAGAAAGCTGAAGGTCCAACAAAGGAGCTGGTATCTGAGTATGGTATGTATGAGTTCTTTGTTCTGACAAGACAGTCCAAAACATAGCTGCACCGATCTATGTTGCTGATATCTGTTTTTCTTGAAATATAACTCAAAGGAAACAAGTTGCATCTTCCCATTGATGTTGACTCGCAAAATGTGTTGACAAAAAGAACTAAGAAGTTCAATTGGAAATTGAAATCAGCTTGTGTGGTAGAAACAATAACATTTTTTATTGCACTCAGTCGGATGATTGAATCTTTTTTAAATTGTTGCTTCCATTCACCATAACTTGTATCATCCTTAGGCCATTGATCCAGTTGTGTAAGTATGGTTCCACCAATTGGTATGCCTAACATGTCATGAACAGACTCTGTTGTTACTTTCAGTTCCTTTCCTTCAATATCTATCACCATTCTATCATAATCAAATTTTTGAAGAACATAAAATCCCAGCTTCAGTGGTATATCTGTGATTTTCACTTTTAATAAAGCTCCAAAACCCATAGATCTTACACATTCTTTTTGTTTTTGCTCAACCCAAGGATTATAGATAGTAATGACTCTGGTGAACATATGTTTTTCATTGAGTAAAATTCCTTTACCACTGGTTTCTTTTGTTTCTTGATTGGTGACTCCTTTTTTTTTGCCTTTTTTGATGGACGACTACTTTCAAAATCAGAGTCTGAATCATGTAGTTCTTGTTTTTCAGGAGTTTTCCTTTTTGATGGACTTTTTATGCTTTGATGCTTTATTTTCTTTGGTGTTTTTGTTTCTTTTTTATATGGGAAATGAAAACATATAATATTTGAATAAGTTATTGATATATGAATATGATATATGCTCGTTAATTTATTAATATTTATTTATTAAAAAAATCTAATTAAGATATACAATTTTATTCATATATGAATATATTAGATATGATAGGAATTTTGTACGTTTCGCATTTTTCCTCTTCAAATCTGTTTCTATCATTGTTGTGGGGTCTTTATCAGAAGTACAAATCTTCTTACCTTCATGAATTAGTGAGTAGAAGATAAATAATTTTGAAATACATTTTACAAAGAAAATATATTATATTCATAAACGAATATAGAATATTCATTTAAAAGATATGATATGTATTTTATACCTTTTTGATTTTTGTGCATTGATCTTGTTTCTCTCATTGTTGGTGAATCTTTATCGGAAATGTTAGTGTTCTTACCTTCATTCAATAGTAAGTAGAAGATAAATGAGTTTGATATTCACAAATGAATATTAGAATAAAACATATATATTCATATTTTTTTATTTGCATATGAATATGTTTTGTTATATTCATATATGAATAGAACATATATAAGTCATTTTTGTTGTATTCACATTTGAATAATGTATGTATGACAGCTAGTTATATTCTATTCATATGTAAATATAACATACATGTTCAGAAATGAATATTTGAATAAAACATATATATTCACATTTTTTTTATTGACATATGAATATTTTTTGTTATATTCATATGTGAATAGAACATATATAAGTCATTTTTGTTGTATTCAGATTTGAATAATGTATGTATGACAGCAAGTTATGTTCTATTCATATGTGAATATAAGAAAACATATTCACAAATGAATATTTGAATAAAACATATATATTCACATTTTTTTATTCACATATCAATATGTTTTGTTATATTCATATGTGAATATAACAAAACATATTCACAAATGAATATTTGAATAAAACATATATATTCACATTTTTTTATTCACATATGAATATGTTTTGTTATATATTCATATGTGAATAGAGCATATATAAGTCATTTTTGTTGTATTCACATTTGAATAATGTATGTATGACAGGAAGTTGTGTTCTATTCATATGTGAATATAACATACATATTCACAAATAAATATTTGAATAAAACATATATATATATATATATATATATTCACATTTTTTTATTCCCATATGAATATGTTTTGTTATATTCATATGTGAATAGAATATATATATAAGTCATTTTTGTTGTATTCACATTTGAATAATGTATGTATGACAGCAAGTTATGTTCTATTCATATGTGAATATAACATACATGTTCATAAATGAATATTTGAATAAAACATATATATTCACATTTTTTTATTGACATATGAATATTTTTTTTGTTATATTCATATGTGAATAGAACATATATAAGTCATTTTTGTTGTATTCACATTTGAATAATGTATGTATGACAGCAAGTTATGTTCTATTCATACGTGAATATAACAAAACATATTCACAACTGAATATTTGAATAAAACATATATATTCACATTTTTTTATTCACATATCAATATGTTTTGTTATATTCATATGTGAATAGAACATATATAAGTCATTTTTGTTGTATTCACATTTGAATATTAGTTTTGCTTGTGTTCAGAAGTAAACAAAACATATCAAAACAAAATTATCTTCAGTATGTTCATTTTTTGTTGTGTTTTTAAGTAAAATCTCATATAAGTTAATCAGTTCTACCTTTTTGATTTGTTCTTGTTTTTCGTTTATATGTATGCTTCACTGTTGGTGTTGTTTCTGTAAGTGTGAGTAGTTAATATTAGGGAAAACTAAGCGAAATGTGAAGTAACGTTTATATTTTGACAGAATAGTTTTGAATAAGTATGAAAAATGAAGAGATGATGTAAAATCGTATATATATCAACTAATAATGGATGATTCTTAAAAAAATTTCAAGTAAATCAAGTAATAACGAATGAGGGTTACGAGAATGAACGATTATCACAAAAAATTGAAGTAAACAACCTATTTTTGAAGAATGAACAGTGTAAAAACAATATTTTTAGTTCTAAATCAAGTAATAATAAACGAAGATTATGAAAAATTCAAGTAATGAAGTGATAATTTTTAGAAATGATTAGAAATCGTTAAAAATTCGAGAAAAAACGTCGATACCTTTCATTGTCAAGAGTGATGAAATGGTCTCGTTCATGTTATCATCCAAAGACATTTTTCTTCTGCAAATGGTTTTCTTCTTATCGATGCTTCTTCAAATGGTTTTCTTCTTATCGATGTTTCTGAAAATGGTTTTCGTGTTATGGGTTATCAAAGAGGGAAATGATGTGTTTCTGTTGAGATTTGACGTATGGTGATATTACTGAAGTGCCCTAACCGTTTAATGTTTTTGGGTTATTTACAAATTTGCCACCGCTTATTAATGTGTTTTGATTATTTACAAGTTTGTCACCGTGCGTTTTTTAAGCTCATTAAATGATTGGCTGAAAATGGTTCCTCCATTCTCAATCTTTTTTTTTCTCAATTGAACCCTCCTATATATATATATATATATATATATATATATATATATATATATATATATATATATATATATATATAGGTTCAAGTTCATTTGAGACTCCATGCTAATCTTGTGAGACTGTGAAACCAAATCTAAAAATAATTTTAAAATGCAAAATAAAAGGAAAAACCCAAAAATTCTTTTTTTAATTATTATTTTCGGAACTTTAATTACCTAAAAAAAATATTTAAAAAATAAATAAATAAAATTACCGTTTTTTTTTTGAAAAATACGTGAAATATTCTGATAGAATATAACACTGTAAATATTCTAATGTGATTTTATAATGTTAGAATATAATACTAGATTTTCTCGGATATGTAGAATATTCTATTATTCTACTAGAATATGTAAGAAAAATAATTTTTTATTTTTTATTTTTTATTTTTTTTGGTATTTTTTTTATTTTTTTTTGGAAAATATAAATTCCGAAAATAATATTTGAAAAAAAAAATTCAAAAATTTTCAATTATTTTGCATTTTAAAAATGTTTTTGTTTTATCTACCAAATGAATGACTAGGATTGCGTCTCACAGTCTTGCAAAATTAGGTCGTCTCACATGAACCTAACCATATATATATATATATATATATATATATATATATATATATATATATATATATATATATATATATATATATATATATATATATATTAGGGTTCAATTGAGAAAAAAAAAAGGTTGAGAATGAGGGAACCATTCTCAGCCAATCATTTAATTAGCTTAAAAAACAACATATATATATATATATATATATATATATATATATATATATATATATATATATCTATATATATATATATATATATATATATATATATATAGGTTTAGGTTCTATGGAAAACAAAAAACTCTAAAAATCAAAAAAATGCATAAAAAAATACTTAGAGATCACAAAACTTTTTTTTGAATTTTTTTTTATAAAAAATCGCAGCTTTTTATTAAAATTCGCTGGAAAAAAAAAATAAAAAATCAGTTTTTTTTTTTTT